AAAACATGGGTTCATGGAGATTTCTTTCTAAAAACAATTAATAATCATTAATAACAATATAAATCATCATTTAAAACCTTTTTTATGCAAGAACCCATGCTAGAATCGAAATTAGGACTTTAGGATTTTTGAAGAACTTTGAAAATACTTTGAATTGGCTCTTTGATTGAAAAAGGAATCAAAGATAAATAGTCCCCATACCTTAATATCGAGAAAGCCCACGAAAATTGATGAAAGAAGCCTCCAATTGAAACCCTAGTTCTTCACCCTTCTTCTTCCTTGAACTTGAAAGAAATATATGAAAGGAGATGGGTTTCTTTTTAATTCTAAGAGGAGTGAGTTAAATGAAAGGAATTAAGTCATAAAAAGGTCTTATAGTTGCTAGGAAAAGAATAAAATAGCATAGGGTCAATTTTGGAAAAGGACTAAGGACCCATAAATTCTTGACTTAAAAATTGTGCCCATTCTCGTCTAAACTCGTCCTTTGGACAGTGCTTCACTATTTCAGGCATAACTTTTTACTCCAAGGTCGGAATTGGGCAAACTCGGTGGCGTTGGAAAGAGGACTCAAAGACCTTTCATAGGATAGGTAATGGCCCACCTAATTCATTTTGAGCTAAGAGATATGACCATTTAAAGTTGACCATTACAACTCACTAGTTCAAATGACTAGTTTTCGGTCGTCACGGTCATTTCTCATCATTTCATCAAGTTCTCAACTCCAAACTCACATGTGAGGCTCTAGTTTCACTAATTCGTTTTTAGGGTCGTTACAATATGGAACTGCTTCGCGGAACTTTTCGGTGACACACCGACTGCTCCATTGCATCACCAACTTGACCTTTTCCTTCAAGGCCCAGCACACTGGAACAAAAGGCGATCTCCAGGCCAATCAGCGACTCGCCACCTAGGCTCGGCGATCTTCAAGCCTTCATTTCTTTGTTCTTTTCATCCGCCTTGTTCCTTCTTGCCAAGTAGTGTCCATGCTTTGCCTTAAACTCTAAATACCTGAAACTTAAGGATTTTCATCAGATATTGAGACAAAATATGCATTTGAGGACACTAATTCTATCAAAATATAGCCCTAATAAGTCCAAATTATGGACTCATCAAAACCCCCAGCTTAAAGTTTTGCTTGTCCTCAAGCAACTCGAGTTCAGTTGTTCAAAAGGGGTGTCTCAAACAGTGCTACACAAGAATCAATCATGAATGCACACAACAAGACTCACTTTACTCATGCAAAGATCAATTGTGCACTCAAAGATTCAAGTTGTGACTCACCAATATCGAAGAATCTCATGCTCACAATACTTGCTTCAAATGCAAGTTCAAGCTACAACAAGTATCAATCCCTCACACAAAGAATGATTCTATATTCACACAATGGTTCACAGTTTAAAGCTTCGAAATTAAAT